CCCCGCCATATCTCTCCCACTCCATTGAAGGAAATTGTTTTTTTTATGAGCGTTTACTACTACGGCGCGCCCTACAAACCCTCGCGAGGCCAACGATCCCATTCATCTGCTCCTCTCTGTTCGTGACGCCATATTGAACGCCGTTTCTGGTCGATATCCCGTGGAAGTCGTAGCACTGTTCCCCGTAATATTCCCGAAACCCAATATTATCGTGCGCGCGCGCGCGCGTGATAAGATCGATAAGATCCTCGTGCACGAGAAATTATCCGTGGAGCCGGAAGCTGTGCTCACAGGTGGTTGATTACGTCAGGGTGTCTTCTTGGGGTATTTCTGACAGATAGTAAACAAGCGAATGCGACATCGTATATATAAGTTACCAAAAGAGAAATTAAAGTTTCGTATAAATCGAATGCTTTTTATTTAATTTATCGATTTTTCCGAGCCGTGTTTTTTCTCTCTCTCTTTTTATAATCAACGATTGAAGTGATTGTGATATGTCCTTCGCTATCACGCTCGAGGGACGCGTAATTGTCGCGGTAATTAATTAACGAGAAACTGTAATCTCACAGATTCCACGAACGGGCGCTGCCCATTCTCCGTTCGAGCGTTCCTAACCTCAACTAAAGTGAACTGGACGCGAACTGCGAATATGGGTAAGTTTGTCGCGATAATTCGACGAAATTTTCTTTTCTCCTCGTTTTTCCATTAAAAATTTATGCAATCGTTAGCGATAGAATTGTGAAATTCGAGTAGCGAGTGTGTATGAGTGTCATATGTCAAACTTGTCAACAATACGTCATATGTCATACTTGTCAACAGTCCCATACGGTCGTAAACATTAAGGCTAAGTGAGGCTTAATTAATATCGTTAACAATAGCTACACAAACGGCTAATTTGATATAGTATAAATCATAATTGATTTAACAAAAATTTGTTCAAGGAGAACTTATTAGATCCTATATTAAGAATGCGAAGAGAGTGGCTGTCAGTGATGAAGTAATTATGGACATCAACAATAATAAACGTCACGCGCCAATTATTTTAATACGTTAATGAAACGTTCACCCTCGAGTTTATGAATGAACTGAAATCATACATACGTATACTTGGCACGTATCTCGCGTGTTATCTGACGAGCTCGTAGATAAGTGATGATTACTCATCACAGTTATAGTCGGCTTAGTCATTGGCCGAAGGTTCGCGTTTCGCCTCGTGTTCTTTATTTATCTATATTCGGTCGTCTGTTGTGATTCGTATAACAATATCAAAATGGTGAGATTGCGTGAATTACATCAGGCCAGAGAGAGTATACCATTGCATGGTCAGTTTGCGAGTAATACGAGTATAGATAGATTTTCTGAACGTGATCTCCACGGTATTAACTCGAACGAACGAACATGTAGTAAGTGTCTGAAAATATTACAATATAACATTCGAATGTGAAGCTAAATGATACAAATACTATCGTCTCTTTCTGTAGAAAATATAGTCACTAAAAATTTATATATCTATATGTGTACAATTTATTTATTTATAAAGGTTGTGATATTAGAATTGTATACTTTCACAGTTTTGTTATAATTTATTTTAATTGCACACATATTCCTTGTTAATAACTCCTTGTAACAATATAATAAATATAAGAAATAAAATTTCTTTGTTTAGGGAACATGTGCAACGATTGTATGGCTAGAGTGCCATACGCAACTCTCATAGCAACTATAATGTGTTGCCTAGGAGTTGGAATCTTCTGTGGTACCATGTATAGGGGTGCGACATTGTGTGCTCTTATGATGGATCAGGTTAGTTTATCATAGTATCTTTCAGAAATATTTTAAAGATTTCATATATTTCAAGTTACCAAATTGTTTAAGGTGTTTCACCTGCATCTCGGATGGTTGGAAGTGGTGCAATTGGTCTTTGCGTCGATTGGAGCTTGCATGGCAGCTTTAGGGTTTATGATTTTGTGCGTCGGTTGTCTAGCAACTGGTGCTACAAGGCACAAAGTCTACCGAGCCTGGAGATCCAGAGTGGGTGGACGTATCTCCTGTGCTGTTGTATGTATTTTATATTGTAATATAAAAATCTTTGACAGCTAGAGAGCTATTCTGATTATTATGTTAATATAAACGTTTTTATTTTTTCAGTTTATGACTATCATTTATATCTTGCAAATAGCTTGGCTTCTGATATTTGCATTCCTTATTATCATCACGTTGATATTCACTATATTCTGGGGCCTGTGTAGCAATCCACGTGTTCAATCTCTCGATGAGTGCATTAATTTTGCTCAATTCAGTAAGTTTTTTATACATGTTAATCAATATATAGATGAATTGGAACTAAAACGTCCTAATGTATTTCTTTTCTCTAACTAAAAAAAAAAAAAAAAAATTAAATTGGATTGTTCTAATTCAAATGTATCTATATTAGATATTTATTATCTGATCGAATTGATAAATAGCAATTTTACGCAATTTTAGGCTTTCTATTTCCAAACAACACACGAGTACAGGATATGCAAATTTGCGGACCTCAGGAGGTCAAATTATTTTGCAAGGACTTTGTGGAAAAGGCTGAGGTGATGTTCATCCTGGCGACTGCAGCATCCATGCTCGTTATCCTAAGCCTAGTACACTATTTGATGTGCTTATCCGCGAATTATGCGCACATTCGAGATCACGAGAAGTTCCAGGAGCTGCAGGAACTGCAATATCTGCAGGACGCGATCGATCCGGATTCTCCTCAACCGGGAATGGGTACCCTGGGTTCTCATCGTGGCAAAGACAGGTTCTAGGACACGGCCCGCGAGATCTTCGTCATGAATCCTTTGTAAGAGGTTTATTGTTCACTGGGACACATAGGAAACCCTTACGCCCGATTGGAAATCTCTTCCAGGTATCACTTCCTCTTCTCTATGTACCTAAATTCGGTATACTGCTCATTGCGGTGTGTCTATCGCCGTTACGGTAGTTTACTGATCCGAGGATCTTGCGGGAATCAACTCTATGCCGTCCATTTTATCTGCGACTCGTATATAAACATTTACTTCGTTTTATATAAAAAAAGATGTTTATTAAAATACGTACCGATTTGTAGTACGTAATATTTTCATCTTTAGCATGGATTGCTCGATTTAAATCGAGATCATTCGCCGAGTTTCGATCTAGGATGTAAATTATACGTTTACGACGATATCAATTCGTAAACTCATATTCATAAGAAAAAGTATTTCTGGCCTGTGCGTGCTTGAAATGCAGGTGATTACAGCGCACAGAGATTGTTTTTTTTCTTCGATTATATTATATTTCGTTTCGATGTATGCACAAATGCGCTGCATGTGTAATTTGCCTAATAGTATCATAAAGTAGGCTGATATTACATTCATATCACAAAATATATGTTGAACATATCGATTGGATATCAGATACAGAATTCTTAAAATCTTGCTAGAAACTTTAAAAATTCTTTATTTGATAACCAATCGCTATGTCCGATAAACTTGTCATACGATAAATATAATATCACCCTTACAGAAATATATTCATGAGTTCAAATCCTTGCAGTCTAATCTTTTGGTGTTAGGATTAATCATTCTCGGACTGTGTATACCATGCATATTGTCTTCATTACTGAGATTTTTTTACGAAAGAGATATCTTTTTTTTATATACATATACATTTATACAGTGAACAACTAAACATATGTTTTCGTTACATTCCAAATATTTAAAGCATACTGGAAAAATTCAAACTAACAGAATAATAATAAGACTTTTTCAAGTTATAAAATAACAATGACTGCATATATTGCTTTGAATATGATTGGTGATTAAATTTTCATTGAATATTTTTCCAACATGCTTGTGTTTTGAAGTATATTTACATTATGGAATCAAAAAGAGAGTTTTGTTTCTCATATTAAGTAGCTTTTTACGAAAATTAAATGTTACAAGAATATTGCATATGAAAGAATATCTATATTCATATAGAATATGTCTATTTCTTGCATACAACTATAATATTAAATTGTTGTGCAAAGAGTAATATATTTTTTCCAAATTTTGAAAAAATATCCACTGCCGAATATTATAACAAGAAAAGAAAGTTGAATTATCCTATATATATTATTTGTGCCAAAAAGGAAAAGAATTTTGGCTAAAAAATCTATGACTTATAACTATTGTTGAAACAACTAAACAGATGTACAATCACGAGTTTAACTCGTTACATATTACTTGCTCAAATTTTTTATTCAATTCAAATAACATTGATTTTCACAAAATTTATGGAATTATTCGATAGGAGAAACCTTGTGTTCTGCATGCCTTGAATTAAAGCTGCGATTTTTTTATCTATGATAAGATTACTTTATTATACACTATTGATGAATAAAAATGTACATATCAAATGACAATTTTGCATATGGAACTATGAAGAGTTATGTACAAAAAAATAGATAAGGATAAAACGGCACATAGAATGTATTTTTTTTTCTTTTTCAAAAAACAAGAAGCTGATTTATTGTTATGCCGAAAAAGTTACGTGCCGCTTTCTCGTTCGGAATAAACTATGTATATTCTTATTATTAATGAATAAAAAAATATTTCATGTTTGTAAAGTATGTTGCATGGATTTTAAAGCTGTCGTATGTAGCTTTGGTATGTAATTTTCATTTTATGTAATGTACAGTAATGTAATTCATTGGTAGACAAAGTATGTACAGTGATCATTAATTACATATTTTATACAATTCTATCTTCTTTGCGTAATGTTCAATCCTCATCAAACTGGAGATCCAGCTCCAGATCGAGGGCACTGACTTCTTGGAGGGTATTAATGAACGTGTATCGTGAAAAGATCATGTACAACTTTCGAAACCAGACATACTGGGATTTGTGTGCAGCCATAGCACTCTACAAGGAAAAGATATTGAAAAAAAATTATATAAAGATATAAAAAATTAATAATTTTTCTCCAACGAATTAGAATGCTCAAACTTACTTTGATTATACGTTTTTGTTCGTACGTCACCAGATACCAATACGAGGCTGAGAGTAGACTGATAGGTAAATCTAAGAGTTGAATGTATTTCCTGATTATATTAACAGACTCTAACACATACAGTTTACAATCTGGAATACAGAATTAGATTTATTAGTTTGGTATAACTGTATGTTAACTGAGCAAATTGATACTGACAAGGAGGTACTTTTTTCTCTATGCACAATGAGGCGATTGCAAAGTACAAAGAGATATGATTCTTATGGCGGCTGACTCCGTATTTATCAAATGTCACGACAGCATTAATTTTGTATATTTCTATATATTGTAAGATACTCTCTGCAACTGTATCTACTGGCCATTGTACGCTTTGATCATCTGGTAACTCGCTACTCCTGCACAATTTATTTGTTGGACTATTATTCACCAGATAGATATCTCTATTTTATCATATTTTCACTGTGCATATTTAATGCTAAATAAAATTGTTTGAGAAAATTAGACAAGTATACTTAGCATTAAATATGCAATTAGATTAAAGATCCAATGACATTCTTTTAGATATATATATATATATATATATGAATAATTTTTAAATGTGAATGTTTGCAAGTGATATTTTATGAAACACACTCACATAATAATCGTTACATTAGCCTCTGGGATGCCCAACACCTTTGTACATTCCCACAGCTCGTCTATCCTTCTTTTGTCTCCACCTGCAAGCACACTGGTAAACATCAATAGACATTTGCTTGACATTTAGTCTGATTATTCCTGTCAGAATCGTCGATTACGATCCTAGACGATATAGCCCGCCAATAACATGTACCCATAGATAAGCACAACAGGTAGATCTCGCTGGCCTTGGAGCGCGCTAGCCAGTAGACCAGCGGTCCGAAGAACATCACCTCGTCGTCCGGATGAGCGGTGACCAGGAGGAGCCTGGCGGGTGGACCCGGTAATTGCCAGGCGACGTGGCCCACTCTCTTGAGGATCGCATAGAGGAAGACGCAGACGCAGAGATACGCTAGCAGGGCGATCACCACCTGCCACGAGATCTCCCTGATGTAATACCACCACCAGCAGACCGCCTCGTTGAGCTGCAGGCTAATATACTGACGCGCGTAATCCAGGTCGGCCATCATTCTCTGATGATGGTCGACACGTGCGTATTCACGATTTATCACGGATCCACCATGCCGTCCGTCCTATGTGAATTATCGTCCACAAGCAAGAACGCGTGTTCCCGTCATTGCGGAGCGATTAAGTTTTGAGGTTATGTCTTATGTCGCTCCCGCCTAGACGATATAGCCCGCCAATAACATGTACCCATAGATAAGCACAACAGGTAGATCTCGCTGGCCTTGGAGCGCGCTAGCCAGTAGACCAGCGGTCCGAAGAACATCACCTCGTCGTCCGGATGAGCGGTGACCAGGAGGAGCCTGGCGGGTGGACCCGGTAATTGCCAGGCGACGTGGCCCACTCTCTTGAGGATCGCATAGAGGAAGACGCAGACGCAGAGATACGCTAGCAGGGCGATCACCACCTGCCACGAGATCTCCCTGATGTAATACCACCACCAGCAGACCGCCTCGTTGATCTGCAGGCTAATATACTGACGCGCGTAATCCAGGTCGGCCATCATTCTCTGATGATGGTCGACACGTGCGTATTCACGATTTATCACGGATCCACCATGCCGTCCGTCCTATGTGAATTATCGTCCACAAGCAAGAACGCGTGTTCCCGTCATTGCGGAGCGATTAAGTTTTGAGGTTATGTCTTATGTCGCTCCCGTATATATATACAGGGTGTCCCAAAAGTCCCGGAACGATCAAATATCTCGAAAATAAAGCATTTTTGAGAAAAATGTTTCAAATAAAAGTTGTAGGATTTTAAGTGGTGCATTAAGTAGCAATGTTAATGTGACTTTAAATAACACGTAAAAATCACTTTCGGGTAATACTAATAATGCTGGCGGTACTGTATACCTTTCAAACCTCATAACTCGGAAAATTAATGGAAAGAAACTTTATTATAGTGTTTTGAAAAGCTCTTAAGGTAAGCTACAAGAAAATCGAATAAAAATTGGGGTTTCCATTTAAGATTTTAAAGTTGACCTTGAGATCTCCTTCATAACTGTGCTCAAGGTCAAATAGGTATCGCCATTTGATGCATTTGTTGGAACCTTACAACTTTTGTATGTAACATTTTTTTCTCAAATGTCTTGTTTTCAAGATAACTTACGGGTCCGATACTTTTGGGACACCCCGTATATTATAATATATCGAACTACGACCACAAACTTATCGACCTCTCGAAATTGCATAGGCTATATCTTTTTTTGCATTGTTTATATAATTTTAAAGCAAAATGTTTTATCATTTAACTTTTTGCTCTCGTATGTAAATCGTATATGTCATATTTTTAAAAATTTAAAAATATTTAAGAGTAGAAAAAAAGATTCTTGTGAGTATCAATTTTTATTTTTGATTGATATACCTACGCCAATGTGTCAAAAATTGTTTTGACATTGAGCGTCG